GATAAAGCAGCTATCATAACTGTTTTACTATTTCCACCAAGAGCATTTTGAAGTAATTTTGTTAGTACGGATTCACGATATGGTATAACGATCTTTCGTTTTGTTCCCGATGATATATCAGCTAATGCTGATATAACATTACCTAATGTTGATAATGACTTATTAATATTTGTGCTTTCTTTTAATCTATCTCCAGTTGCTCCTGTATTAGAAACTCTTTCAGATCCTTGAATAAATTAACAATAAAAAAGAAATTTGATTTAATTTTATAATAAAAAAAAATTCTTTTTACCAGCTAAATCAACAAGATTAATAACACTTGTTTTTTTTGTTTCACCACGATCAGTTTTAATAATTTGATCAAAATATATAGTAACAACTGTATGTGCACGACTACTTGTTGCATTCATATTTGTTGCAGCTATTGTTCGATTTTCTGTACCTTCAACAATACGACGATCAATATCATCATAACTACCAACAGGTAGAATACGAAGACCTTGTGGATAAAAATAACCTGATGTTGGATGTTGACGAACAGAAAGACCTAATATCAAATAAAGATCAATTTGCTATATTAAATATTTAGAATATTTACCTCCTTTAGGAAATTCTTTCGTTGATAAATCACGAACTTGTTCATTGTAAATTTCCATCATAGAAAAAGAAACCTCAAAGCGCTAAAAAGATAAAATTAAATCCTCTAAGAACAATTAATAGTATTTGTTTAAACGACAATAAGATTGAATAAGCTTATGTTCTATAAACGATTATTTATTTTTTCATACAGAAGTAGTTTACCACTTCAGCATGCCACACCTCTTAAGACTTCATGACTCACATATATATACAGAATTATTGTGCGCAATATCTCATTGCAAACATTATCAGGACAACTCGATATGGACAAACATTAAAGACGATTGTATATCTCACTTCAAAAATCAATCGATTACTAAGCCATTTTCATCAAGTCAATAATCGACTTCACAAAATTTTTTTTCTTCAAAAAGTATAGTTTCTTTCATTTTAATAGATACTATAAATAATTTATAAAAAGACACGCACCATGCCAAACTAATGATAGACACTTAAAATATCGGCTCTTTGACTTTTTATGTCATCATAGTCTATTTAAAGTATAATTGACTTACTATATTATCTTGTGTCTAGGAGAGTATACTTCAAAACTTGACGAACATGTTCTTTCTATCGATCTTCGTTAATTATTCAATCTTTAACTATGTATTTAACATAAATACTTTCAGCAAACTTTAATCAATGATTATCTTTAACCTATATGCATAGGCATCGCGAGATTCTGGTTATTTTTATAGACATAAAACTTTTAGAAAGAAATTATCTTGAGCCTATTAATTAAAAATCCACTGATCCAGGTATGAATTGCAAAATAACAATAAATACATACAGTCGATGAAACTTTCTTTTTTTGCATTTCACGAAATAATTCATTACACACAATTGGAATAATTCCACTAGAGAAAATAAAATTAATTTTTGAAAATAATAAAATTTAACAAAAAAAATAAAAAATAAAATTCTATACCGATTAACACCATAACCAATCATTGAATAGCTTTTTCCAGAGCCTGTTTGACCATATGCAAATAATGTACAATTAAAACCTATGAAAAAAGGATAAATTATTTTTATAAATTAATTTCAATGTTTTATTTTTACCATCAAATGCGTTTTGTAAAACATCACGTCCGAGATCATCAAAAACTTTTTGTTGAGAAGCATATGGTGATAAAGAATTATCAGCTTCAAGTATTCCAGAAGGAAGTTCAACAAAGCTATCATGCGACCTACAGAAATATTAGTTTGTTTTCTTCTCTTTTATCTCAAGAATAGTTTTTAATTCACCAATATGACTGGTCGAATGAAAACTATAAAAAAAGCAAACGGAATATTTTTTTTCTCTTCAATTTAATTTATTTCTAATATACTCACTTGCTTTGGCTCATCTTCTAAGAATTAAAAAGAAAACAATATTTTATAATTATTACACCTTCAAATAGAAAAATTACGTGGTGCTTTTGGATCAGTAATAAACGTTGATTTTCCTTGCATTTTAATAACAAGTTTTGCACTTCGATCTTTTTCTCTATTGATTTTAAATAGATCAAAGAAATTATTTTTTTTCTTTAAAATTTTGTTTTTACCGTTGACTAAATGGACGAACACGTACAGCAACTTTGATACTAACAAAACGAAGTATTTACAATAAAATTAATTTCACATGATAAAACTTACGATTCTTCAGGCATTCTTGTTCTTGTTCTTGTTCTTGTTCTTTTTAAACGGAAACTCTAATAATGAAACTCATTAGACATTTTTTATTGTCAATTGTAAATGAAAACAACTCACTTCATAAATGAAAAAAAAGTAAAATGATGAATGATGTTCAGTATGTAGAAGAAAAGAGCACTTAAAAAAAGGAAAAAATATAAAACAGAAAGGCAAAGAAAAAGAAAATAGCATTGATGTATTTAAATAGATAAACTAATCCGCTCAGGCAACATCCCTACGAGATAAACATGTGTACCAGAATTTTAATTATTTTTAATAACAAGGATACTTTTTAGAGACGCTATTATACAATGTTGTATAAATCATTTTTCTATAGTCTTTTTTTTTCTTCAGCCTTTTCTTCTAAACTTCTTAAAACTCAGAAAATTTGTTAGAAATCTTCATGCATTGTCAGACGTCAAGACTACCGAACGGAGAAAAAAGTAATACTAAATGCAGTCATCGTTACTGCTATAGGCGTCAGGTTATATCTCTTAGAAATTATGTGTTTTTTTAAGACAATGAAAAGGAAATGCTATAGTTAGGTGACTGTTTCCACTTTCTACGCAAAAAAAATTAAGAGGAAGAAAAAAAAGCAGGTTGAACGTCATAAAAATAATTTCTTTTATATTTTCTGAAGAATATTAACAAATGAATATAAAAGAAAAACAAAACATCACACATATTCTCTTTACTCAACAATAAAAAAGGAGCCCAAAGCATTCATCACAATCTAACATTTCTACTTTTGTAAACTTTCATGTTATAAAACAAAGTGAAAAACAGAAAAATGATGTCATCATTATTAATCTGCTGCGATTTATTAATATGCCAAGCAACATATTTAATAGAGAAACAACTACTTATAATTTTATCTTTAGGGCATAATTACAGATAATTATCGTTAAACTTGACATCAAACTTATGGCACCTGCAACTCATCGAATTCAAACAGAATGTTGTCATTGATCATTTTGGTTGCTTAATATGAATATTCGAAAAAGTATATTAGAGAAAGTAACTTCGTTACGTAGTATGTCTTAAATACGAAGAATTATAAAAATGTGTTAAAAATAGTTTATATAATTTTAGTATTATTAAGACTGATTATAACATTTTACGTTAAGAAAAATCTTATAAATATATGTAGGTAAAAAGACCGAAAACTGTCACCGACAGACAAATAAATTCTGCAAAAAATTATATCGATTATTTGATTAAGTGTCAAGAAAAAAAACGGAAAATTTTAAAATAAATGATTTAAAAAACAAACATAGAGTTGTTTAAACAAAAAAAAGCCCTTGAACATATTTTCTATGAATAAATCGTTTTTATTTTTCAATTTTAGAATTATTATATTTATTATAATAGTAATTTTATGATTCTGTATTGAGTAGACGTTCAAAGAATAATATATTCAAGTTGTAAAGAAATTAGTCTATACATATTTTCATTCGTTCTGTCTATCTTCTTACGAGAAAAATTAAAAATATTAGCGACGATAAGCAGTCGGCAAATTCAATGAAATTTTTCAGCATAATTAAAATCTCTGATGACATTACCAAGAACAAAATCGACATTACTTCTGATTATCAACCAATAGTCTCATTACACGACCAAAAAAGATTATAATTAGAGACTTGCGCAGTCGCGTCGTTTTAGTTCTGACTCCTCAAAACTTTGAGGATTTAAAAATTCTTTTTTTCTCATGAATTAGCAACAACGTACACATACGACAATATTATGTAGTTTAAGATCGTACGAAGATTATGAAAATACATCTAGCGATGAAAGAGTGAAGATATTGAATGGTATTGATCTTTTTTTCTTTCACCATAATCACTTATACAAGTTAATCTAGAGTAAATATTTTCTGTTTTATTTCATGTTATTTGGCTATGAATTAACAGTTTTCATTTACTAGACAGTACAATTCTCTAAAATAAATATTGCATAAGAAAAGAATGAAATAAGATTTTTGGAGTTTCTATAACCTACGTCAACTTCGACTTCGATGTAGAGCTTCATTTATAATTAAATATTTTACTTTACATTCTCAAACTTAAGTTTTGTCTGATAGAAATATTAACATTTGTTTACTACCACTGTCACTTTCTTAATTAACAAAAATTGTTTCTATTCAGAAATTAAAACTACTTTGCAAATCTTAATTCAGATTAATTTCAAACAAATACCTGTATAACTTGATGTCTATGGATTAAACTTACTTGTACTGTAACAGTTCTTCTGAAAACAAACGTCTCTTCGTTTTTTATCAACTAAAATATATTTCAGAAAAATCAAAAGTACGAACTAAGAATCTACGCTGAAAAATCTTTTTCAACTGTATCATGTTGTGCCTTTGAGTAACGAGCACATCTTTACATAAGTCTATAGAAAGTAACTCACAATCGCTGTGGTAGAAGAAACTAATATTCGGGCATTTTTCAAAATTCTCCTATGCCTTCTGTCAAATATTGTTGTTTTTTTTTCTTAATTAAGCTCTGTCCTCTAATTTCCTACGAAAAAAAACTACGCCATCGCTTAATCCTCTGGCGCTGGGTTATTTTTTGGAAAATGGCATAAGAAAATTTTTTTCAATAAGTTCTGAAAGAGACTTTTTTATTATTGAGAAGCACTTAATATGTTGCAAAGTATGATATTGTTGAGAATAGTTTACAATACAGAGCCAAGCGTTATCATGAAGGAACTTATTGGATAATAAGAATATCTTTGAACCTTGAAAATATGTGTCACAAAATTTCAGACAATATATATCCAGATATATCAGACGCTTTTTCTTTCGAAACTGATAAATTTATATCTACGTAATCCAGATACAGGGAGAACTTACAAGAATATGCTAGAAAAATAAAGAACGTAACTCAGAAAAAGAAAGTACAGAAAGAAATCAAGCGAGAGAAACACCTGAACATATATAAACGAAATACGTAATAACGAATGTGTGTCAAAATCGAACGCTGGAGAAAGAAGATGTTTCAATACATAGTGGCCCTGTGCGATGTCTCTGTGAAATGAGAAACATGAGCGAAAGAGAATTCTTGTTTTGACTGATAACAAAAATTGTAATTGTAATCTGAGCAAAGCTCAAAATGCATATATACAAGTTCCAGCATCAAAGAGTTAAAGATCGGCTCCCTCTACCGCAACAATTGTGGGTTATTTTTTACAGACTACATTCTAGTGTTAGCTAAACATGTGCTCATTACTCAAAAATAAAACATGATAAAACTTTAACAGGATTTTCGATGTAAATTCTGAATAGATATTTTTGATTGTTTTGACATATGTGTTAGTCGATGAAAACCGAAGCAACATTTTTCCAGGAACTTTTGCACTACATGTTATATTGTCAATATTGTATCATTAAATAATAAACAAGAAAACTTTAGTCAATCATTTGATTATCTTTTCTTCTTCTGAAACTACTAATATAACAATTAAATGATAACGAATGACAAAAGTTCATTATCTGTTCTTTTTTTATCTTGAGCTTCGAATTCAAGTTTCTTTTTCTTCATATATTGAATAGTTATATGTAACATTAAAAAGAAAGAAAAACCAAAAAATTTTCGTTTTTTTTTTAAACATTTTAAATCCTCATAACTCGTCTTTTCATAACAGTCAAAATTAATGTGTTGATAAACGTTTGTAAAAATGTTACTGCAATGAAACCTATTAATAAACCATTAAGTTGTTTATATGAATGTTTACATCTACCACTATTATCATCAGTTGTTGATAAGTTATCATCACATGTATCTACTGCTATTATAATAATGCCAAAACCAAGTACAACAGCAATAAATACAGTTTCCCATGCATAAGAATGAAAATATTTCACTATATTACATTGCTGAGAACGAGTATTAAATATAATTGTACATATGCCAAGACAAATAATAACAGCACCAGCCCAAAAACCATAATAGTAAAAGACAATTGAATGGGTGACTATTAATCCAATTTGCAGACCAATTGTTACAATACCAAATAAAATCATTAAAACAGCATTAATATTAAAATAAGTTTGCATTCTTTTTGATAGAAAATATCCTGTTGTCCTAGATTGATTAAGTGCAATAGGATCAGAAGAATTCATTTGTACAATACCATCTTCTAATGGTGGTCCAGGATAATTATTAATATAGAAAATAGTTGGACTATTTACGTCAGTATAACTTGGTGGTAATGGAAAAAAATTGTTATCATGTTGATATGACGGATTTTCTAATTTATAAATAATACTTGTATATGATGGAGGTGGCGCTTGATTATCATCATTGTTTCCATTTATACTTTTTAATTCACTACTAAAAGTAGGATTTCGTATGATATTCGACGGTGACTGCATATAGATGGTTAATAACTTCTTATGCGATTGGTAGATTTTTCTTTTCGTTTTTTTTATTACCTCAGCTATTTCCTATAGTGATAGTAAAAAAGCAGATGAATATTATATACAATATGTCATGTGTGGCCTTTTTATACATGCAATTTTATATTATAAATGTTTACGAAAGCGTATAAAGGTGAAAATGATGTTTTTTGCTGTATTGATATGTATGTTTATTTGAATAGGTAAAAGAAAACAAAATTATGATTTTGTTTTTTTATTTTCATATTTTTTATAAGTCCTGATTGATAAAGTATTACAAAAATTGATTTTTTCATGCATCACAGTTTCATGATAGACTGCGTAGGAGTGTTTCTGTTTGAATGTGATTTTTTCGTCAGAATTAGAATAGACGTTGTGATCTACATTTTTCTTATTGCATTTCTAACCTTTGAACTATTGTATTGTGTATGTTTTGTAATTATGTTTTCAATTATTCAAATGCATGTAACCAAAGAAAATAGAGATGAAAACAAGTTTACTCACAAATATCGAATAAAGAATTAAAGATAAGTGTAAATTTAGGTTCTGTTGTTTTCGAGAAAATTTATTAGACAGCGATTTGATAAACCTACTATATTTTATAATATGACAGATAAAATTTAAAAACAAGAAATCAAGATAATCATGTCATTAGTAGTTGTGCTACAGGGGAGTAAAGTGGGACTAAGGCATCTGGTCACCAAAAAATTTTTAAAATTGTTGCGAACATTGGTTGTACGGGAAGTCTGAGGGACTCAGTCTCCTCCCCCTTTGGCTAAAAATCTTTGCACCATTTTTACATGCCATAAATACATGTTAATAATTGTATAAAAAGAAAATGTTTTTCTCATAGACTTTTCTTCGGACTACTATTATTAACGTTGCAACATCATTAATAGTTATTGATTTTATAATATGCAATGACGATGACCATGGTGGTAAAAGGTGCATAGTAAACGAAGTTTATTCAAGTTGTCAATTTATTGATAAAAAGTTATAAGTCTCATATCAATTCTTTTTATATCATTGTATTTTTGTTTGCTTCTCTCACATTTTGAATCATTTCTGATTGAGATTGTACGAATATATCAAAGTCTTCATATTGAACTTTTCTGTTTAGAAATATCCCGCCTTCGTCTTTCCAGGGTTTCTGGAAAATGACTTATCGGAAAATTTTGAAATTTTTAGAACAGGTAGATCCTGAGAAGTAGAGAAAAAGTTGTCATACACTCACAATTTCCGAATGTTGTTTTCTATGAGATACTGAGATCGCAATAGCGAAAAATGGTTCCAATTTTCGCTCCTGTTTCTTCGATATGCTACCTTCGATCTAGCAGAAAATTTTTTTGCAGAAACAAAACACTGTTTGGAGTGGATTTTTTTAAATTTTTTTTTGTTCTTTGAATAAAAAAGTCAAAATATCGAAGATATTCTAAAAACAATGCATGTATTTTTTTAAAGATCTACCAAAAATCAACAAAACAATACTTTTTGAGGCGAAAAGGATACTCATCCCAAATAATTTAAAGTATAAAGTTGGTGTGAAAAATTATGTGAAACAATGTATAGCTTTCGATAATGTAATTTCTTCTCGAATTTTTCAACGTTTAAAGATAAATTTTGGATGCTACTAGCAGATTGATGCTATTTCAGACTATACATTTGGCCATAAAAAAAACGACAAATTTTGAGTTACGAAAGGTTGGACTACCCTTAATGGAGTTTTTATTTCAATAGCAATTATATCAGTTATCATGAAATTTGTACTTTGGTGTCCATATTCGTTTAATATATGGTTCAAAACACATCCTACAAATACATTCGAGTAGGAAATTGAATGAGCATTTGTACTTTAATTGATCACTATCATACAATCTGTGCACAGTTCGAAAATTCTCCTTCTTGAATTTCATAATTGCCTATATATCTAAAAAGTCAATGCTCTTTGATATTAAACAAGTTTAAAAGGCGATTTAAGTTTGGTCTACAGGGAAAAAAAAGTCCAAATGGCGTACATTTCTAGGCTTTGATATATTATCATTTGTTGTTTTAACAAAGATCTTGTAGTCGAAATCATCTTCAAGATTAACCTTGAAAATTTTTATCTACCTCACAAACTTTCATACTATGATATTGTTATCATTTTTCACTCGAGTTTTCTTTCAATTTCATTTTATTCATTTATTTATCTTATTTTTTTTTTAATTTTTGAAAAATCTAAATCTTCAAATTGCCTATATATGAGAGCAAAGTATAACATAACAAAATATCTGAAATAAATAGATATGCTATTTTGTTAGAGCATCAAATACATCTGTTTGACCTTCGCTCAATGCTCGTTTTCTTTTTTTTTTTTTAACATTCGACAGAAAGAAGGAAAAAAAGTATGAAGAAGAAATGACCTCTACTATCTGCATTAAGCGACTTTTTTTCTTTCTCGTTCTCACATTCGATGATTAAACTAAATGGTGCCAAACATCTGTCTATAGATAGAAAGCAAAACTAGCATGTAAAAAAAACAAAAAAAAAAATGGACGAGATTACATTCAATACACCCAGTATTATTAAACTAGGATCATTTGCTGGCAAAGTAGGATTAATATATACTTTTTGGAAATAAGATTATTCATTCTGTTTATTATTTAGATAAAATATTGTCTTATTGATACATATTTTATTCCATTTTTGAAAATTTTTAAATTAAAAGTAAGATATTTGTTTCATAAAATAATCTATTAGAATTTTTCTTTTCTTTTAAAATATAGATTAACTATATTAATAATCAATTAATTGTAGTTGCAAATGATGGATTAAAAGATATTCCATTACATGATTTTATTTGGTAAGAAAGTAAATTCTTTTAAATTGATATTTGTTTTGTTTTTAAATAGGGAATATTTTTATCAATATTCAATACCTGAAAATTATTCAATTCATCATCAAAATGGTATAACTATGGATAATCGTTTAGAAAATTTATTATTGATATCGAATAGTATATTTTATTTGCCATTAAAATCTTATTCATTAACAAGTTTTTATTGGAAAATTATTTCATATTTACCAGTTGATATGGATGAAGTTAATTATCATAGTACTATATTAGATCAATCTAGTCTATATGAATGTCATAATGCACCATGTACACAATTATTATTAAATTCATCTGATGAACAGTTTATTTGTCTTAAATGCAAGAAAATAAAGTAAGACATTATAAGATTAAAATCATTTTAAATTTATCTTTTTTTAGATATTGTAGTCAAATGTGTCAAACAATGGATGCTGATATTCATTCAATATTTTGTAATCCCATTAATTCTACATAAAAGTCATTCATGTATATTTGATTTTTGGTTTCTTTTTTTATTATATAGTCATGTTTTACAACAGAAATAGAAACATTTTATTGTTGTGTGTATGTAGATGTTTTTCTTTTTTTATACTTAGAAGTAAATAATTCAGAGTAAAGAAAAAAACCAAATTACTCATTTTTGTTCGTAGAAAACAAAAGATTGTTTATGAATAATTAGTAAAAAATTCTCGTCGAGATTTCTATGAATAATATGTCGAGTAATTCCATATAAAATTTTTAATTAGATTTCGGTCAAGATTTGACTTTGATTTCATTTTCAACCTAATGGTCGCTATTACAAACTTTCAAATCCAATTTTATTCAAATTACTGCACAAGTACAAGTTTTAATATTCACACTCGTCCACTTCGTATCCGAACATAGGCGCGGATGCGGATACCTTTTATTATATTAACGGAATAAATATCTTGGGAAATACATAATGCCTGAAAGACCCATTGAAATATGAATATCGTTCGAATAGCTAATACGATATGAATGATTTTAATTTTTGAAAACCTGATTTCGTCTTTAATGGAAAACGTGAGAATAAAGATAATTTTATATAAAGTATCTATCAATACTCATTGTAAAACTCGTAAAATAGTATATTAGTAATGCCTCGAGAGATCTACAGTTATTCTTTTTATTAGTTTTAGTAGGATCAATTTATGAAAATATAGGACTGTATAAAGACATTCAAAAGCACGATTTAAAGAGTATTTTCGTAAATATATTATCCAGGAAAAAAATAATTATATATTATGAAAACGCTCAGAATTTTCTATCATCCTGCATATTTATGTTTTAACTGACGTCTACGAGTAAAAAAATAAATCAACTGTAGTGAAGATACACTGTCATCGTTATGAAATTTGTCACTGTCTCCGCAATTTACTCATTAGAATATATAATTAAGACTTTTTTCTGAGAACTATTTCTATAGTAATGACAAATTTAGAAATTTAATAGAGGAGACAGTAACAAGATTCAGTTCGTAGGAATCTGGCGATGATGGTACATTCATTACAGTTAATTTATTTTTCTACCAGTAGATGAAAATTAAAACATAAATATGCGAGGTGATAGAAAACTCTAAGCACTTACAGAGTATATATAATTGTTTTTTATATGTATTTTTATGGTGACAAAGTCGACTAAAATTATTTTTCTCCAAGAGTATATACGGAATTATTTTCGGCGAAGAAAAATTTTGTAAAATTCAGTACAGAATTTTATTGAAGTTATTTTAGATCAACAATTATTTATTTATTTCAATAAGATCGATGAATTTTCTAGTAAATAAATAAAATATTCATACATTGTTTACAAGAGTTTCGAATTTTAGTCTAAGAATACATTCTATATATATAATGTCACATGATATTAGTGCATAGAATCAGTTATTGACAAATAATGTAAAGAAAATCATTTGTGTAAATAATTTAAATATTTATAAGATTAAAAGCAGTGTACATTCAATCAATGTTTTATCTGAGCTTAATTTACTAATTTTTAGTTTTTTCTATAGTTAATAGAGTACAAACCTTACATAAATTAGGTCGATAGAATTAATTAATTTAAACAAATGATCGTATCAAGCTGATTTAATAATAACGAAATAAGCTAGTACAAAAGCGAGAGATTGTTCAAATTTACATATGAAATGTATTAGATTGTCTTCACCGCAGTAGGTGTTTGTTGCTTGTATATATTATACCATCAATGCAATGCAAAAAAAAAAATTATCAAGCTAAAAATATCAAACAAACACTCCAGTATGCGCTCTATTTAGTTAATCTAAAATAACTTGAATACAGAGTAGATTGAGTTCTTTTCATATACCTATTGTGTTATAAAGACTATTTATAATATTGAGTGAAACAAAATTGCTTTTCTACGATATTTTTGGAATGAATAAATATTTTTCTTTTTAGTGTTTTTAGATAGAAATAATTTAATAAACATGATATAAACCATTTGAACTGTATCAAAATCATTGAATTTTTTTTTGTTCGTCTTATTTGTTTTTCAGCATTCTATATTGAACTTATACAAAATGAAAATTTTTGTATCTGGTTCTTTAAGTAAAACATTTCAAAATATGTTTGCAGGAAATGTAAAAACTAATTTCATTTATTTCATGAATACATGCAACATATTTGCATTTTCTTTGATAAGATTTTGCTTTGATTAATACATGGGACACTAGAAAAATTTTACTCGCTCGACTCTCATAAAAGCAGTAATTTGAATCCAAATGTTCTATTATACTGTTTAGATATATTTAGGCTTTTGTGCGAAATTTCGACTTTTTGTCTTATGCGTTGTTGCATTTTTCTTTTCATTTCTTTTATATTAGTCATATATCACTTTCTATATAACCTTGAACTATGTCGCAGTGCGAAGCAGATATTACATAAAGTTAGACTGTTCGTCCCTTACAATAACAGAGAATGAGCTGGATGTAGATCCCGTAAGTTACGCTAATTTTACTCTACATTGAAGTTGATTATTGATATAAAAGCTATATTTACATGTAAAACCATTGAGTAAAACTGTTCGTATGAAAGTTCAAATGCATGTCGGAAATAGTGTTTGACTAACCTGAAAGAAATGGAACAAAATAAAACAATGCATAAGACATAAAAGGTTCAAATTTTGACTATGATGCTTAATATGTCTAAGCATTATAATATAACACTTGTACTTAAATTATAATTTTTAAGAGAGTCGAACGAAAAGAAAAACTGCTTTTCTAGTGTCACATGTATAATGTATTTTACTATGAACTATAAGGATTTCTTATAAAATCTTCATTCATATTTTATTATTTGATTTACTGAAACAAAACAAACAAATGCACACACATTTGAACAGCAGATTTGGAAAATATCTACAGAAAAACACAGAGAATCATTGATATAAATTGTGTTCTATGTACAAATTATTCGGAAAGATATCTACGAAAAAAAAAAACAATATTTCGTATATCTCCATTGTGTTTTAAGAAAATCAATTTATGTATTTTTTCCGATAATAGAGAAAAGAATTACAAGTTTTTATTATTATAAAAAAAGTTTCTAAGTAAAGTTTATAACTTTTAACATTGTCTAAAATGTAAAAATTAAGTTTCGTTTTCTTATTTATAAAAATTACCTATGGAACAAGGTTCGTAAATAATTAATGATTTTTGAGTCTATATTTTTGTTCAATAGTAGAGAACTACTAAATCAGAATAATTGCTAAAAGGTTCCTACACTTCCTAAGTGCTAATCGAGATATGGAATTTTACTTCCTGAGACTAAATGAAAGAAAAAAGTAAATTTTTTGTGAATTTTAATTGAAAAGAATCCAAAAAACAAACTAGAAAGGCTGGAAAAATAAAAGCGAAATTCGGAATACTTTCAAATATACAAAGACTTCTGAGAAAAAATTTACTGAGAATTGAAAGACGATAAAAGCCCTATTTCGTTGCTTTGCCCGGTGGTAGAACCGCACATTTTCAAACAAAAAAAGTCGCCTTATCATTGAACTTTGACTTAAAATTTTATCTACTTGAAGCTTTCTCCTAGATTAGCTAGTATGTAAAATAAAAGAATCATTAAATGTAATCTCTTCGAGATATAAATTTCTTATAATCGAGCGTTTCTTTTTTTCATCGATATTGCACAGAATAACTTGTCTCATAACAATGATAATTTGAAATTCTTTTCTATTATTTGAAGAAAAACAAAAATTGACTGGAGACATTTAAATAATTTTTTTTTGTTCAATAACTTTACGAGATCCTCTATATGCAATGGACGAAAAGTAAAACGAAACAAATGAGATTCAATAATGAAAAAGAAAAATAAACCAATATTTATATAATATCTTGTTCATGTTTTCGTTGTATTAGACGATAACATTTTGGACAATCATGCTCAATATTATCCCAACATTGTCTATGATATATATTTGAACAATGAGTACATTGTCCTATTGTTTTTATATCATTAAATGGATAAAGTATATCTTTTCGATTTTTACATATTTCACAAGTAAAACCTTTCTCACGACAAATAATGCATTTATATATATGTTGTCTTGCTCGTATACTTGCTGTATTAAGTATCTGTAAAATTTTTTTTAATGATAATAAATCATTTAATGAATATAAATGAATACTTTGATAAAGATAATCACGTGCATAAAATTCTTTTAAAAATTTTTCATTTAATTCATTTTCAATACGTGTACATGTTGATAAATATGCATAAAAATTTTGAAACTGTATACGACTTGCTTTTATATCGGACAATATGGGTTGTAATATATATAAATTTTCATTATCATTTTGTATATCAAAAAATGGTTGATAAAAATTTGATTGAAGAATTGATTTAGCTCGACGACATACAGGATAAAGATGCATATCAAATGATTTAATTATTTTTGCTGGAATATATGTATAATCCATAATATGGCAACGTGAACAATATAATTTACCATAGTAATAACAACGACGTGCAGGTACATTTGATACCGATGTAAACGATTTATTACAACAATCGCAAAGATTATTTTGACTATTTGATGTTGTATATTGAAATTCTAAATAGAAAGATTTTATGATGATTATGAAATTTTTTTAATCATTTTTTTTTCTACGATAAATGAGAAAGTAGAAAAAAATACCTTTGAAGTGAATAGAACTTTCAGGCGGTGCTTCAAATGAAAGTACTTCAAAACTATCATCATCGATATCTTGTTCACCAGTACCATTAGTTGTTGTATTTGTCGAGTTCTCATCAAATAAAGATTGATCCTGATCAGTGAAAAGATCATCAGTTGTTGTTGATAGATCTGATGAAACGTCATTAATGCCTAAATGAAACGAGAGTTAGAAAAGGACTAAATTGAAGACAAAGAAGAAAATAATTAACCTGATATCCAGTAATTCTTTGTTGGTGATAGTTCATTACCAAATGCAGATTCATAACCCGATGAATGTGATTGCTGTTGTGGTTGTTGCTGAGCATTAGCTAGTACTGTTGCTGATGGCTCAGGAACACTAACAGGCTCACTACATTGTCTTTCACGATTAGTATTAAATCCATCGGTCATAATAACCGAACTTGATGGTTCAAAACAGAATTCACAAGGCGGTAAAGTATCCTGACACATTGATCCTTCAACAGATAAATCAGGCTCACATGGTGGCCAACATTGTTGCATGCTGGAATTTGTTTCGTTTAGTGCAGATAATGATAAAATGTGTTTCTTTTGTCGACGTAAAAATGATAACTTAAAACAAAAGTAAAAACAAAAATTGTTCTCTATTCATTTAAAATATTCAAGATGAGTTTTATAACGCTGATGTAAAAAGAAACAAAAAAAAAGACTTTGTAAGAAAGCAAATAAAATAAATGATATCAGCATCGTTCTTCGTTTTTTCTATTTGTTAATGAATTTAAGAATGTCTTCAGAAAAGAAAAGTAAAGATAAGTAACTACTTGTAAGTTATAGTATCAATGTCAACTTACTCGGCGCAGTGTACCCGATAGTAATTGTTTATGTGCTTCGATGGCCGTAGGCCATATCTTTTCAAGTTCATTTAATGCTTCGTTTTTCATTTATTTTTATCACGGATTTATTACTAGTTTCAGATTTTCATCTACAAAATTTTATGTGAATATGAAACACTAGAGAACGTTTATATACGTCACATGTCTAGTTGATTGTACTTCGTTTGAAATGACTCAGTAGATTACATCCACGAATATGGCAAGAGCAAGTTAGAGGAAAGAAAAAGAAAACCTATGAATATAACGAGTCATCGTCAGCAGATAGTGACGCCTAGTATTGGACGGGAGCAAAGTTTATTCACTTCATTACCATGTGATGATAGCATAGAAAAGAACATCTGTTCGCAGAGTACACTTTCTAGACATATAATATTTACCTCGATCAAATATCTTAGTATTTGTTTTGTCGAATCATTCATGATTTTATTTCTACTGAGAGCAAAAAAAAAGAAACATTAAATAATTATTCGATACATCAAAAAGAAAGAAGAAATAAAAATAAATCGTATTTTGGCACAGTATATAGCATTCTCAATAGAATAACAATTATAACCAGAATCATTCAAGAGCAAAAAAATCAAAGAAAGAAAGAAAAAGCGAAATACCAAAGGTACACACCGGATGTGAAGAAAAACAAACGTGTACAATGCAGAATTACCATTCCAAGAATAAAAAAAAAAGTCTAATAGAAGAATATGTGTGTATGTGTTCATTCACGAAAGGCTAAGCATTTCTTGTTTTATAATGATAAGAGTAATAAAGAATAGCAGTGATATCTGGCAGAATGGAAATAAGAAAATTAAATAAAAATTAAATTAAATTAAATAAAATGAAATATTCTTTTTATTTTTTTTTCTTGTTTATTTTGTTCTTTTTGGTTGTTATTGGTTTCTGTTCTTTTGTGCCCTATTGAAGATGATAACGATTATAAGATGATGGAACATATTTGACTGTTCGATATGTATTAAATTTAGATGGAATGATAAGTTCACGAGTTAATTCAAATGGTCTTGTTGATGTAGAATTTATACGTGATAATTCAGGTTGTTGCCGATTTATTGAAGAATTTGTTATATGATTATTTCCTATTGTTGATGTAGGATTTTGATATACAGATGAACTCACCGGACGATTATGACTACTATTAGCAGCATGATTGTAAGTATTTGTATAACTAGATAATGTTGTTGTTGATCGTGGAGGTAATGTACCTGTTGTTGAACGTGTAACAAGTGAATTTTGACGTGGTGGTAATGAGAATGTTGGAGATGATGAATACAAAAAAGATGAACGTACTGGTGAAGAATTACTTATTGTTCCTTTTGATGGTGATAATGTTCTACCTAATGTATTATTATTTGTTGTTTGATTTGATATTGTTGTTCTTGTTGGTTGTCGAAGTGGACGTGATGTTGGCATTGATAAATAAATATCAGGTACAGAACCAAATGATGTATTCACAAATGAAACGGATGCATAACCAAATAAAGCTCTTTCATAAGCAATTAACTAAATAAGAGGAAAAAAAATAAAAGACATTGATTTCTTTTTGCAGCGTGGAAGAATTTCTAATAATTACTTGTTTAATAAAACCAAAATTTGGTCCAATGATATGCCGACGAGCACGTAAATAATGGAATGCTTCACGTAATGACATTTTTTTATGTTTCATTAAATAGGCTAAAAAAACAAAGAATTTAAATGATTGAACATCGGTTTGATTTATAATCGAAATTAGTTCGAATCTTTTTTCGAAAGTAAAAGAAAAAAAGAAATTTGAATATAATCTTCGGATAGATTAATATATGCTAAACAAGAGATTTTCCTATGATTTCCTTTATCAGAACAGTTTGTTTTCTTAAAAAAAAAGAACGTCTCACGATAAGATATGAAATCTGCTGCGCTCCTTATACTTTTCTTTAAATAGATATAGCATCTTTTCGATATAATGAATTTGATTTCTATCTATGATAGAAAACCGATTGGACTCATCAGCTTTTGTATCTGAGATACGTGCTTATTGAAAATTGGACTTTAATTGAACGTTTTCTCTCCATAAATATTATTGACATAGCATATTGTAGTTAAATGAGTTTTTCTTCATTCAAAAAAAAAACAAACGCATTTGAACTCCTGATAAGTTCTCTTTCTTCACTGCAAAATACATGGATTAGGAAGCAGTACTAACGACATTACTGCAGTTACTCCTTGATAGTGCAACAGTTTTTATTGTGCAAGTAAAAAACTAAAATTAGCATTTGTGAAATTCTCTTACGAACTGAACCAATATTTTCTCCAAAATATTAACTTCGTCAAAAAAGTTCGAAAATTATCCAAATCTGGAAGCCTGCACATTTATCTGATAAAAACCACTCTCTATTCAGTTAGTTTCCTATTTGACTGCAGTTTTTTGTACCACAGAATAAAGCTCGAAATAAAATTTCAACATTAAAACCTACAAGAAAAATATATGTTTTGATGAAAAGTATTTTCGGTGACCGATCAATTCGTCGTACGACAATTCGTCCCGATCAATGAGTCTTATTCGCATTTCGATTTTTGGCTACGAACATGTATAAAAGTGACTATACAGTAAATTACGTGTTATTGAGGACGGTCTCTTTTCTTTTCTCACTCTTTATGAATCATCTTCGTTGTTTAAACAACGAAGACGATTCATAAAGAGAGATGAAAGAAAAGAGACCGTCCTCAATGACATGTAATTTATTGTGTAGCCACTTTTATACATGTTCGTGACCAAAAATCGAAATGGGAATAAGCGTCATTCGTCGCAATCAATTCGTCCCAAAACAATTAGTCGCACATGTATTGTAGAAAATACATTGATTGAATTAAGTAATTTAGTTTAAAATGTTGTACAATTAATCGCCTTAAAAAAAAAATTTTGTTTAGACTCATAAGAATCTTTTTTCATAATACAATGATTTTCTCAAAAATAAAATAGAGATATCCATTTAAAGCCTATTTTAAAATTTAATTAAAAAAATTGAAGTTTGATTTTGGATAAAATTCTATGTACACAAAAAAAGCTGAAAATTAAAACAAACATATAAAATCGAAAAGAAATTTTAAAAATATANCTGACTTTTTTTTTCTTTTGTCTTAATTAATAATTATATTTCAAATGACATTTAATTTTTCTTTTTGTTTTTTTTTTTTTTTGTTCAATATATGAAATACATAGGCGTTTTTCGTTTTTATGTACTGTTCTCTTGTGTCTCTCTCTCTCTCTCTCTCTTTCATTGTGCATGAGAGAGTTCGTTTTTTTTGTTTATAATCTTCTTTTACGATAAAATTGATTATTAGAATTTTTTTTTTGTTCTTTTATCTCTAAGCATATTTGTATCTTTTCTTGCAAACAGTTGTTTGTATGTGTGCGTGTGTGTTTTGTAGTCGAATGGCACAATTATCTTCACTTTTTTTTGCTTTCTCCGTATACTCCTCGTTTTTTTCTTTTCTGTGTGTGTGTGCATGTTGATCTCAAGTGATAATATCCTTTGTCTTTGGCGTTCTCAAAGAGATGCATAACATGTGTTTCTTTTGCATCATTTTGCCTTACTTGGTCGAACAAATTCGAAAAGAAGAAAAAGAAAAATAATTAATTTATCTTATATGGAACAGTGATTAAATGAAAGCCTCTTCTCTTTTGTTTTGTTTGTTTGTCTGCTGGTGCTCGCTTTATTCTTTTGTTTTGTCGTTGTTCATTGTTTATTCATCAGGAGAAAAGAACAAAATACTTCACTAATAACCTTCAATATGTTTTGTTTTTTGTTTTTTTTTTTGTCGAGTATTAAAAAAAAAACAATAACCTACCAAACTTGTATCATATTCTAGACAGATAAAGAAAAACAAAAAAAAAATCTATGCAAATATCGACAGATTTTAATATTTTTCACATTAGTCTTGGCTCTATGCCAACATCTATGAAGAATCAACCAAAGCAAAAATTCATGATGAAAGTTATTCATCATCTTGGAATTATATCAATCAAAACAGTTGGCGTGTAGTGTTTAAATAAGAATGATAAATATTGATATATGGTTCTAATCAAAGAAGATTCTAATTCGTGTCAGATGGTTTTATTTATCATGATGATACATTAAGCTACGTAAAAAGAAACAAAAGAAAAACAATTATGACATAAGCTGAAATGACATATTCGAAGATTAATCTGAAACAGATGATTTACTTAAATATTGTGAAAAGAAACAAAAAAAAAGAAAGAAAGAATTTATATCAATTGAAGATTATCTACAAACAATTTCTTTATCTTTTTATTCGAATAATAATATTTAGCAAATGAATAATCGCTCAGATCTAAAGATTATCCATTCTTCTAATCATTTTTTTATTTTATTTAATGTTCATATATATATATATATATAAATATCTTATTTCGCATTTATTTAAATCTTCATCTCATGAGAATAAATATGAAGTTTCGCATCAATGGAAGAATTCCAATTAAACAAGCATATATACTATATTAAAATGTAACTTATATGATCAATAAAAAATGATTATTAAAAATAGACGCAAGAGTATGTTGTATTATAGTTGATTGTAAACTGCCATCAGAACTACAGACAACATCCGGAATAGAAGAAGAAAAACGTTATTTACAACCACTAAGGAACAACAATTCATTGCAACGTAGTCGTTGTTATCGAACTGGTGAGTGAGTGAGTAAGAGTGCTCCAGCGGGTATCACTAGCCAATTAGTTCGTTGAAACCCAATCTTTTTCTTTTCTTTTTTTTTTTTTCTTGCATTCCTGTCATCATCTTCATCATCATTCGGGCATACTCTGGAACAAAAAAAAAACGGGAGAGGGCAGGGAAGAGAAGAGAAGAGAGGCAGGCATAGAGAGCAAGAAAAACTCTGTAAAAGAGAAAGAAATGAGAATACTACGGTGTACTATTCATCTTAGTTTGTTTGCATTATTCTTTTGCTTCCCAATTGATGACACCATATAAAGATTGTTATTTCATATTCCATAGAGAAATGGTCTTTTCATAAGCCATGAAATGAGGAAAAAAATCATTTTTTTTCTTTTTACTGATTTTTCATTCATCTGCTTTTGTTCTCGTTCACCTATATTATATATATTTATTGTTTTTTTTATATATTTTTTGTATAGGTTTTTTTCTCATTACCTATTATTACTCGTTTATACAAAAGAAATGTTAAGTTAATCAAAAATATTGACACTTATAAAATAAAAAAACGAATACAAACAATTGTTTTAAGCCAAAAAAAAAAACAAAGATTTATTCACTTATGTATTAGACGACTAATTATCATCATTTTTTTTTATTTTCTCTTTTCACACAAGTGATTATTAACGCTACAGAAAGTTTGACAAAAAAAAAAAAAGTTACAGGTAGGCAAATTAAATTATTTTGTTTGATTTTGTTTTTATCTATATAAATTCTATTTATTTAATTACAGTTTAATGACAAATACTGTTACATCGACAAGTGGCACCACTAATCGGCCACGCCTTTGTCGATCTGATCATCAACCAAATATGCTTGAATATATTGATACAACATTAAATGATTCGTTTTCATCACGTTTAAAATTACAAATAACACCAACAACAACTACAACAACAACAACTACTACTAATACATTATTATCAAATGGATATGATCAATTTGGTAATACAATTGTTGATCAATATCTACTTTATATTTTATGTCAAAAAGTAAATCCAAACCGAACTGATAATAGGACTAAAGATCTATATCAATCATTGCATAGATTATTTCTATTGAATGGTAAAATATCGAAATCATTTTTTGAATATTCACCGCCACCTATTAATCGTTCAAGTTATCAATCTCTATTTAATAATTATACAAATTTTATTTGGAATGAATTTGATGCTGATATTTTACTTGAACTTGGTTAGTAGATTTTCTTTGAATTATACATTCAGATCGTTTTTTTTTTCAATAATGATTTACATCTGATTACTATTCCAAACGAAATTTATAAAAAAAAAAAAATAACTTTTGACCTTGTCATTATTTTAAAAGACCTTAGTGACTGAATATATAAATAGATAAATCTTCAAAGGACTTTTACAAATCAATATGCACCTTGAGTTAGCGCAACAATCTTAAAAAAGATTGAAATTACTGTTATCGTTTACTAATTATTTTTTTTTTCTTCTCGTTCGAAGCATCAAAATTATTATTTCCATACTAAGTAAGTAATTCCGAAATTAGAAGGTATTCTTCCTTGGATATTATATCGGTAACAATCCATAGAATTTCCTTTAGACAAATCGAGGCGAAAATTTTTCTCTTTAAAAATGACAAGTCTATGACGTCATACACATAGATATATAATTGATAAGTGCTAGGAACTGGTACTTCTAGATTGTCAAATTAATTCTTTTCTATTATTTAGTCATTTTTTTTTAACAAAAGATTTTTTCCGCTTCTTATTCCTTGACATAAAAAGTAATTGTAGTACTAATGTCAAACAGTTGTTCATTCTTATTCGATAGTTCAGATTTATCTAAATACTGTAATAAATATATATATGGATTCATAAATGACTTAAATTATAGACGAAAGAATTTCTTTTTCTCACACCACTCAAGTTAATAGATCCATGGAAAGAAAAAGCTCCTTGTTGCGGATTATTCTTCTGTTAGACGGAACAAATTTCTTTTTCTTCTTTTTTTTGCTCTTATTGAAATATCATATTTATTGTCGATCTATTAAAAAAAAGACTAAATTGATTTTATTTTAGCTTGCTTTTTATTAAAATATCGTTTACATGATATATTTATAAACATATCCAATAATAAAACAAATGTGAATTCTATACGACAAAAAATAATTGGTTATTTTCTTGAAATTATTGCAATATATTATATTTTTACAAATCATTATGAATTTTTTATTCATTCACGTTCAAAAGATATGCTTTTTCCATATCCATCATCGACTCTTAAGTATTAAAATCATCAAAGAAATATATATATATAATTTTATTGAAAATGTATTTCTTAATTTTCTTTTCAGTTCTGAAGATTATCAAAACGACAAAGATATTAGTTTATTTAATAAATTTCTTCGTAAACTTAATGATAATGGTGAAATATCATTTAATTTACATCAAATCAAAGTTCTTTTACAATCAGATGAATATCAATTTTTAAATAAAAAATTAGAAAACAAAAAAATTGGTTTTATAAATTTTTTTGAAACAATTATACATCATCAACAAGAAAATTCATGTCGTTCATTAAAATCTATCTGTCGTTTATCAATTAAAATGCATATTAAACAATTTCCAGATGATATTAAACAATTATCAACATATTCATCGATGAATGACCGACTTTTAACATATTTAACTTATGAAAATAAGTACATATTTGAATCTAATGTGTGATTTTAGAAAAAAATTGTTTCTTTGTGTTCTATGTTTCATCTACTTATATATACAAAATAATAATTGTAAATATTTTTTTTCCTTTTTTTTTTGTAACCATTAAGGTATATGTGTGTGTTTATGAAACATTAAAAGAGAAAATGAATAGAGAACTGAATGTAGTAGGAGGTGGCTTTATTGTTTTTTTTACCATAATTTATCATGACACAGTATAGTTGATGGATGAAAAGAAAAGCTCGTCATCTTATTCATACGATTCTCTTTCTACATTTTTAATAGCAACTTATGTTATATTTCTTTCAGATGTCTCTAAGTGAATTGCCCGATGTTGCTTTGATAAAAATTTTTCGTACACTTGATCATATAGAATTAGTTCGTCTTTATCATAGTTTTCAAACATCGAAACGTATACAAAATTTAATACGTAATTGTTCATGTTTATGGATAAATATTCATATAAAATCGACTGTTGATTATCATTTATTTACCTATTTTTGTCGTTTATTAATATCAAATGCATTAACAATTCGTCAATTAATAATCGATGAACTTGATTTAACATGTAGAAAAATTCTTTATGATAATGAATTTTCTTTAAAAAAATTTTCTAATCTTGAACTATTAATTATACATGATGAATACATATGTAATACATTAAAATCATTAAATTTTTGTTCATTATCATTAAAAATTTTACGTTTAACAAATGATCATATAAATTTACATCATATTAACAATTTAAATCAATTAAATACTTTACAATTAACATTTTATTCAATAGATATTCTTCATAATAAATTTGAACAATTAACAAATTTACATTTAAAAATAATGTTTGATTATGATCATAATTCTCATGAAATATTTTCTCGTTTACCTAATAAACGTTTACAAATTTTAACATTAAAATTTCTTTTATTAAATAATGATTATAATTTTTTAAATGAATTTAATCAATATTTACATTCATGTTCTTATCTTCATACACTTGAATTATCATATCTACATGGTATGTGCCCATTAAGTTTATATACAAATATAAATTATTTAAACTATCAACGAATTATATTGATTAATATATGTCAATTAAAACAAATGAAAATTTTTATTGAATTCAATCAAATTGATTTACCATTAGAATATTTACAATTTAACTCGACATTAAATATAAGTCAATATTCATCCTATATACAAAATGAATATTGGTACCGACGTCAATTAATATCTATTGATTATATACAATGTGTAACAACATCAATGGAACTTTTGAATGAATTAAATATAATTTGGTCAGATAAAAAATCAAATAACACAATCATTTGAATCTTATATACTTCGTTCTATTTATAATGTATCTCATCTAATATCTTCACTACGAAATTTATCCATTAGTAAATTTGAATTAAGTCTTAATGGTTTAGTTACACTAATGACTAGTTTACCATTATTAATTGATTTAATAATAACTGATGGAGAAATTGATCAAATGGGTTCAGGAATGTGGAATATGGAAAAAATAGTAAAAGCTATACCGAATATATCTCAATCTAATATGCAAACAATTGTCATGAATAATATTCAAATGTCACGTCGAACAATTGTTCAATTATGTTTAATGACTCAACAATTAATATCATTAACAATAAATGATGTACGAATATTAGATAAAATGATTATTTTAGAACAAAATCAAACTGATATTCGTTCAAGTTTTCTTGTTCTTTTAAAACAAATTGCTCAATATACAGATCAATTTAAATGGAATCACATGAAATCTTTGACAATAGGTATTTTTATATATGAGACATTTCATACAAAAATGAGACATAACCATCTTTTATTGGACTTATGAGAATAATTTTTTTGTCTTTGAAGAAGTTCATTTAGCTGACTATTAATTAAATACTAATTAGCGAATATCTCTCTGATCATATGAGAAAAAAGTTTGAAAACATCAGGATAAATTCTATGACTGGAACCGCATGTATAGTGAAATTTTCAGCAAGATATAATTGCAAAAGCCATGACTTCTTAAAAACTTGCTTTTCTACAGATCCTGCCAAGCCCTGAAACAAAAATTTTTGTCTTACCATTATTTAGAGAGTAAATCGATTTTGTTTGAAAAATCTAGACTTTCTTAGAAAAATTTGAATAGACATATTGTAGCCTTATGAGTTGGCTTATACTTGGAGCCAGTCGAGCTTTTTTTTAACTGAACTGGATCGGTTGGTTCCGCATCGGTTTGCCGGTTCGGTTCCAAGTATGAGTTGTCAACATTTAGTTTTCAAAAATGCTGTCTCAAGTCAGAGTTTTTTTAACTTCAAATGTATGAAGTGAAAGTCGATGTCCTTTTTAGTATTAGATTCTTACTGATAACTTCTCTGAACACAGATCTCTAGCGCTGATCTTGATACATGTTTTAATTTTGCAAAATCACATCGCTAATAGATGATTTTCTTCATATTTATTTTTCTAGGAAAAAATATGATTAATCGTCAAAATCTTTTGTCATTTATTCCATCAGATATAAATAATACTTATTCAATAAATATAAATCATTTGCGTATTATTATTCATGATCATACATTATTAGAATCTCACGATATATTTCGAAAATCTATAAAAAAACTAATAAAACTTTATTCACAATTAACATCATTTATTATTGAATTTACAAAACGATATGAAGGAAATTTTCGTTTAAGAAATCAATTACAAACATTATTTGAATTAAATACAAATAAAAAAATTTATGTTTATCCAACTATACATGATCATGCTTGTCGTTTTTGTTTTGATACAAATTTTAGTAATGAACAGAATGAAGGTCATGATGATGATGATGATGATCAAATTAATTCTAGTCAACATAATCGAACTTTTTGTGGCATACCATTATATCAATTTAGAAAACAACGAAAATCAAATGTTATTTCATAAGAAAATTTAAATTTTTTGTAACAATTTTTTTAAATAAAAATCATTTATTTCTTTACTTTTTTTTTAATCATTTAGAAATTCATATATTTAGATAAGATACTAGTCTATATTCATTTAGAAAAAAAAAAAAAGCTAAAGTAACCCTATTTTTTTTAAACAATATTAATAAAAAGCGTTATGGAAATTCAGTAACAGATAAAAATAAGATTCGAATTAGATGTTTGCTAATCTGTACATATTTTTATGCTATTCGAAAGGTTAGGATTAGTGTCATAGAAGAATTTATATGAAAGAATTATATATCAGAATCTCATATATGACTTACGCAAAATTTATCATTATTATTAAAATCTACGAAACTTTCAGAATATTGTTTTTGTTTTTAATTATTATCATAAGTTGTATATCTAATTTAATAGTAAGAAATAAATAGCAAATATGAAATATATCTTGATATAAGTTTGCAAATAAGAGAGTTAGATAATTATTATTGTTTCTTTAGTATAAAAAGAAATACTAAAAACCATTGAACATGAAAGAAAACGAGATAAAATCAATCTTTGACAACTTCCGTACGAATAAAAATTCTCATTTAATACACTCTAGACAGGAAGATATAACGGAAATATGAAATATAATCCTTTTATGAAATAGAATGACGTGTTCATATGTAAAAAGAAAATATAAACGAGAAAAAAATTCAATCTAACCTAATCAATTGTCATCTGAGAAAAATATTTCTTTAACATTCAATTATTTTTTTTGTTATTTGAATAAGAATAGAAGAAAACAAAATTAATATTCTCAATTATTTTATTTTTGTTTTTTAGATTATTCTCAATACCAAAAATAATGAATTTTATTCTTTATTAACTTGAATCAAATTCAACATCACGTTCAACGTTAATAAATTGTCTCTGGTAAGTTTCGTATAATCTTTGTTGATGTAGTTCACATAACAAATATTCTATTCAATCATGTAAATTATCTGTTAATCAGAAAGATATTATTTTTCATCATAATTATTCTCGATTTATTTTTATAATTTATATGACTATGCATGACATAGACAATTCATACCATTGTAAACACGGTTTAATATATGTAAATATTAGTCAATTAATAACTGTAGATTTCGTATCATCAAAAATATTACTACGATTACTTAAATATTATTTAATTCGATTTGTACTACCAAGCCCTTTATTGTCAATGTTCCGTATTGAATAATACTTTATTCTTACATTATTTTAATATTTCTAAATATTGAAAGATGTAACGTTGGTTAAAGATAAATATTAATCTATTAAAATTTTCATCATGAAATGTATCGTTCGGAAGTAAAACATTTATTTTTTCATACACACAAACGTGTTGATTGTATATCATTTAATGTTTTAATATAATCTAAGATCTTAGAAACAGTTTTTAATGAATATTTTTTTCTATCTAAGCTATATTAGCATATCTGTTATCATAATAAATATCATTGCTCAATTCAAATAAAGTTTTTTGAATAATTTCATCAAACATATGTAAACTTCGTAATATAGTATAATCAACTTTAGCTACTTGAGCAATGCTACGCAGTTATGTAAATCATAACCTAGATCTTTAACAGTTAGAAAATATTCATAACATTTCGGTAAATTTAGATATTTTAATTATAGTATAATTTCAATTTGAATATAACCTTCAAATACGAGATATTAACTGATTTAATTATTCTTTTTATAAACTCTTATATCGGTATACCATCAACGAGCTAATTGTTTTTAATTATCACTTGCACTAACGATATCAAGTACTATATTACATTACTTGATGAATTCATTTTTGATGACTATTATTAATTGAATTTAAATTAAGAAATACCAAATGTTGTGTGTTGAATACATCAATCATTCGTATGTTTTGATATACTGAGGGTTCCAATAATAAACTATTCAAAACATAACTTTTTCTTCGGTTACTTTCATCAGTAGTCAACCACAAGAAATACAAAGATCTGAAAATTCTCCTGTTGACATACATATCCGATTTTGTAGAGCTTGTTTTCGTTGATCATTTCGGTACAAAGAATTTCCTATTTTATGCAACGTATGAAAGTGCTATGGTCAAAATCCTAGAAAAAGTCAAATTACTTCAGGCCTTCAGAGCAATGTGATCTTATTCTAGTATGTTGAGTACAGCATTGTTATTTGTTAATGAAAACTGAAAATTCTTTATACTGAAATGATCAATTAAAAATGCTCTACAAAAATGAAACATGTCAAAAATTTTTCGGACACATTTGGTCCCACGGATTTTTTTCGAATTTTGTGTGAAAAGGTCAGATGGGTTAGTGAAAACTTCGACATTGTAAATAAATTAAAATATGAAGAAAATAAAAGTCTAAAGTTCATTATTTATTTTTGCTCAAAAGTGTCAATTGTTCCCTTTGAAGTAGATAATAATAGTTTTCACCTATTTTAATAAACTTCTGGCTCATGAATAAACAATTGGAACTCTTCTCTGTAATTATAAAAAACAATTAACTCACGCGATCAAAATATGATGGAAATGTTCTATTATTTCTTTTTTGTTAGGTTGTTTATCGAACACCCGAGACGTGTTCTATGTCAGAAACTTGATTAGACAAGAAGAAATATTTATCTTTCGGGAATTGTTAGATAGGAATACATTAAGATTCTATATAAGCGGTGTTGAGACATTACATCGAAACAGATCTATTTAAAAAACGATAGCATATCTACATAAATCGAACTATACTAGACGATCTTTGGTTTGAAATACATCGTCTAAGGCTATATGATCGTATCTTATAATAAATAATCCGGTCCTGAAATGATCTAATTTCTCCTATAGATAGGTTTTTATGATATTATCCAAATGTATCGGGTGCGGCATAAAGAAAAAAAAGTCTGAGTTTCGTTTTTTTTTTATTTGTTTGCTGTTTGTCTAGAAACATACGGTTAGTTTCAACAAGATGCTCAATTTAATTCTTTAGCAAATAGAATATTTTATATAATGAATGTAATTTTTTTCAATTTTTTACGTCACTTTTTCAATGTTTAATAAGCATAAGTCCTGTTTGGACGTCACAATAATGCACTACTCGAATAGATTCGCTTCATAAGTTGTATTTATAGAAACGGGAATCATGCCGATACAGAATTTATGCTTGTTAGACTCTTCAAAGATACTGTTAGAAAGTTGTGGAATATTGTGATGACTAGTTTTAACACATCCATCGATCATGAAAAACAAAAAGATTAAATAACAACTCATAAAGAGAAACATGAACCTCAGGCGATTTCTTTCTTTATTTCTGCATCCGATATATTTATATAGTTTCAAAATTTAAAAGTAAAATCACATAAGATTCTTAAATCCTCACATGAATGTTCTTTCAATTGAATTCAATGAAAATCTAATTTCTAAATAAACTGAACGAACTCAAATCGCAAAAGAGAACATTTTCAATTAATTATGAAGTATAAATCCTATGTTTCTAACAAATGTTCAATGTTGTTGTTTTTCTCATTCTCTATAAAATTTTTTTCAATGTTTTATTTAATATTTTTTATTTTTTATTCTATTTTTTTTTTTTGCAAAAAGGAAAAAAAAGAAATAAAAAATAATGTCAACATGGTTTCTCATTTTTCTCAGGATGCATCAAATAACTTGCATGAATGGCATTTTTCTTCATGCGACACATTTGTTTTATAATGAAGAATAAAAAAGATCTAAGATATATGCTTTAAAAAAAAAAGAAACAAATCATATCTTTAGTCTAGAGTATTAAATACATGATGAATTCTATATGGAAATGTAAGTAGAATATATTGATAAAAAATTTCTTTTTTTGGTTATAAAAATTATTTGTAATTTTTCTTGTTTTCAAAAGGTATTTGTGGTGATAAACCAAGAGAAGAAAATAAAATAAGAGATATTTCATTAACAATGAATTATCTTTCATTACCTGCACAAAATAACAATACGAATAAACCACGAGCTCAAGTAATATTCTCCTTCTATTAGTTTTACAATTCAAATTATTTAATTCGTTTTTTTATTTAGGTAATTTTAGCTCCTCAACATGGTAAGAAATTGAAACATTTTAAGAAATTATCTTATTTATTTTATTAGGTTTAATGGATTGGATAAGAAAAATGAATAATACACCAAATTTGTCTGGTACAAATGGAAAATTATTAAGTATTACAGAAGAAGAATTAGCTAAACATAATAAAAAAACTGATTGTTGGACTGCTATTTCAGGTAAAAATAGAAAATGCGTTATAAGTTTTTCAAAGCTTTTTTGTCTTTTATTTTTAGGACATGTTTATAATATAACTCCATATCTTGATTTTCATCCAGGTGGTGTTGATGAAATAATGAAGGGTGCTGGTATTGATGGAACTACACTTTTCCAAGATATACATCCATGGGTTTAATTAAAAAGATTTAAAATAACAAATGAAAATAGTTATTGTTGTTTATTTAGGTAAATTATGCTTCAATGCTTGAAAAATGTCTTGTTGGTCGATTGATAACTAAACATAATCCAAAAGAAACATCATTAATTAAATCAAAATCTTTACTAAATCGACTTCGATTTGATTTTTGTCAATTAAATACAAACAGTTTAACACTTTTCATATATACCACATGTATAAAATTAACCGTAGAAAATGTTTTTGTTCATATTGAAAATTCAAAAAAAATTGTTATTCTTATTTATATTGATGGACATATTCATACAATAGCTATAGGTAAATATGATAAGAAAATAAATGATATGATTTTTATTTTTGGTTTATTTAGATTTATTTGAATTAATAACAAATGATTTTACTGGTAACATAAAAAAAGAATTTATTTGTATTAAGTTGATTTTTTTGTGTGAGAATTGTGTTTAGTTCGTATTTCATCGAATAGTCGAAGTCAAATTGAAATTGATTTAAACAAACAAGTTGATCAAATGTGGAAATCAATTGGAAAATTTCTACCGAATCATTTATCTATATGTACTATACAAGATTTTGGTATGTCTAAAAAATAGAAAAGAGTTAAAATGAATTGAAGAATTAAAGTATATAGAATATAGCATTTGTTTTAAGTTCATAAAGAAAGCGAATCAAAAATAAAAGACACATTTAATTGAATCTTGTTTTCCTTGCATGAATAATTTCACTGGGTTAATTGCATATGTCACCAAGCAAATTAAATTGGTTTCCGAGGTTTTCTTTTAATGTATAGAAATCCTTTTAACTTTATAAAAATAAAATCTTTTGATGATTATAATTTTTTACATCTGCTCTTGTGTCATGCGCTGAATTAAGATAATTAATATTTCTGTCAGATGATTCTGATTAAATTTTTTTCTAATAGTTGCATATTTTCTATTTGAATAAAAAATGATGCATTGTGCATATTAAAAGAAACAATATCATGTTCTTTTCTTGAGTTATTCAGAAACATTTTTAGAAATTCATTCACTAGAGAGATTTTTTTTTATTGTGAAAAATTATTTTATTTTGTAATTTTTCTCGTTGAAGCAAAATTTTAAATGGAAACGTCTGTTCAATCGTCTGACTACAATTTTCTAGTAATTTGTGGAAGTCTTTGTTCATGAATATCAATCCAAAAAGTAATGCAGTTAACATCAACGGATAGGAAATTTTTTATTCTCCATTTCTATGATCTTTTCAAGTTTCCTGGTGCTATGGTTCATAAGACAAAAAGCTTGAAATTAGTATTTTCTGCGCATATCGGAAAGACATGTGTTCTACAATGAGATTTATTCTATGAAATAGCCATTCTTGCATTGTCGGATGCGTAGTTCGATTCTGAACAAAACGTTGTGACTGTTAAGTTGAAAAACACAAATGATTAAGCTCTGTTGAAATAAAAAATAACAATCACGTAATCCTGTCAGATAAAGTTTTTCTTTTCTAATTTTTATTTCATGATTATTCTCGTTAATATTTCTTGTAAAATTCTGAAATATATATGAAAAGATGCAGAATTTGGTGGCATACTTGTCATTGCAGAAAAGCGTCTTTTGAACATTGCGGTTAATTGATTAATTATTAATATTTTACACATTGCTCCAACAAAAAGAACTTGAAAAAAGCAATGCAATAGTTTAGTAGAGGAAAAACAATTCTCTATCGAACGACTTTCTGAACGTGTATTCGAGTGCAAAAAATAACCATCTTATCTTGTTTAATCTGCGCCATTCGTTATTTCTTAATTGGAATTAATAAGAATTATTTATGACAGAAAGTTATTTTTGTACATGTTGAGTTCTTATCGTTAATTCTATCAAGATTAATTCTTCTTAATTGAAATAAATTTATTTTGCTTACGAAATTATCATTTAATTGTTGTAATCTTGTCTCGGACTAGGAATGTGTGGTATTAGTGTAAATATTCAACATTCAGTTTTCAACACAGAGTCCACTGATATCAACGTCCGCTGCAACACTGAAATACCCATTTCATCAAAATATGCCTTTTTTTTTATAGTGGTGTATTCCAATACTTCAGTGAACACTGATGCCAATGTGCACTAACTCCACTGAGTCGGTGATCAATAAACTGAAACTATCACTCCTTATCTCTAACAGAATATATGAGATATACTTCTGACAGGCTTTTATCTAGACTTTCTTTGAAGGGACGCCGACACGTTGACCTACTCATACTAAAGAAAACACTAATTTTTAGTATCAAATATACTTGAATGTCCTTTTTTTTCTTCATTTAGAACCTATATACTTTACTACTACTCTCATTAAACGAACTCCAGTGACACATGATACAGATTGGTATACATTTTCATTACCATCGAATATATTTATGTTACCTCCAATCGGTTATCATATTCGATTAAGGCAACCAAAAGATGGTTGTATTGAGTTTTTTCTTTGTATTTTTATTTATTTATTATTTTTATCATTATTTCATTCAGGTATAATTATTGTAAAACCTTATACAGTAGTAAAAAGATTAAATGATGAACAAAATTCATCATCGGAACATACCATTGAATTATTAGTTAAACATTATCGAGATGGAATAATGTCGACAACGTTACAAAAGCTAAATATTAGTAATGAAATGAATAGATTGTTTCTTTTTTTAATTTTTTTTATTTGTATAAAAGGTGATACTATTGACATGAGTTCATATGAAGGCACATTTGATATTCAAAGAATTGATATGTGTCAAACACTTATTCTTATTGCAGCTGGTACTGGTTTTACACCAATGATTCGAATTATAAATTATGTTATTAAACAAACTAATAATGGAAAACATATAAATGTATTTTTATTATTTTTTAATAAAACTGAAAAGGATATTTTATGTCGAGAAGAATTAGAAACAATATCGAAACAATATAAGTAAGTGAAAAAAAAGGATCTTTTTGTATTATTTCTTTATTTGTTTTTCTGAGAAATGAATTGATTTTTTTTCTTCTCCATTAAGTCGTATTAATATTTCAGAAAGCATCTTGAAATCGAACAAAAAAAGAGAATGATCTATGACAATCAGCAATAAGAAATTAATTTCGTACAGAGAAATTTTTCATTTTGTTATTATTTTTTATTATGATTCAAATTTAGTCTGAGTATATAAATCTATTAATGTTATCTGATTATCAATGATTCAGGCCTCACAGCCGTACTACTTTCCTGATTTTTTCCTAATATTTCATTATCCATCTTTCTATGACTATATCTGTATGATTATTACGCTTTCTTTTGTTATAATAAGTTTATTTTCAAAATTTATATAAAAATATTTGTCAGCTATTTTCAACAAACGAAGAAAGATAATGTTCAAATAATATGTATTTTAATATATTTATTTTTCATATTTGATCCAAATTTTCATTATCTTCAATCAATTGAGCTTTTAAAACAGATGAGATAGTGTGTTAGTAGCTGATACAAGTGCTTCAGTTATACCAATATCATCAAATTTGTAATTGGTCATAGCTGCAGCAAGTCTTGCATACCTTTTCTCCAGCATTCTATCATATATTTTAAAGTTAATAGTTGAATAGTTGAAAACTCTTAGAAAGTTTTAAAACTCAAATCGACTTTGCGACTTCTACACTACTGTGAAAACACGCATCTGAAGAGAACTTTACATTGTTGCACAGTGGTTGCTCTTTCCTTTGAGCATCATTGCTCAACCAGCCATGATTTGGCCATGGGAGTTTAGTGGATGGCGGTACGCTCCCGCTCTCTTCCACTCCACTGATGAAAAATTTTTATTTTATTCCAGCAAAAATTGTTTTTTTTAATCCTAAACAAGATCTTAGAATGAAACAAAAAAGTTTGTACCATTTTCTCCCGTTTTAAAAAAATTGTGTATCCACCTTACCGGTTCTCAAAAAATTTCTTTTGCACTCTTCTTGCCCATTTTTTCTCTTCGCCACTTTTCCACAAGTAGTGGACGAAATTTCTTTGGGATTTTGACACTTGATATGAATAGTGTGCGCTGTGAGTATTTTCATCAAAATTTTTAAAAATCTTTCACATCATTTTTGACCCATACCCGTACTTTCCTTCATAGCAATGGCAAAGAAGTGTTTTGATCATTCTCGTGGGATGCACATACGTGAGTCAAAATTTGATTGAGAGCTATCACAAAATCAACCTTTAGAATATCGCAACGAGTTACTCCCAACTTGATTCCAATACACGAAATCGAAATATTTGAGGGATTGTAAAAGGGCATTATCCGCCTTCCTTGTTTTTAGAATAGAGTTAGTGTTCCAAAGATCCATCAGACTTACTACCTGAGTGATCTCAGTAGGGTTATAATTCTTACATAGATGTATGCACCGAAGCTCTTGACTGTCATACTGAAAACCACATCTTGATGTCTTTTTTGCATTCGAGAGTCATTGAAAAATTCAAAAAACTTAAAAAAGCAGCGGTGTACTTTATAAAGTACTCTGGTACTCAAGGGTTTAACCTATTTCGACGTTCATCGAAGCAACGTACGTTTTAAATGTGACTAACCATGATTATTTCATTCACTTTTACACAGATTTGATTCTTAAAAGTCACTATAAGATTAAATATTACAATTCATGATTTTACTTAAAAATTTTCCTGCCTATTTTTCTCATTTTGGGACATATACCGCTGCGATCCCTGATGATTGATTCTACAGTAATTTTGAGTCGATTTACTACATGCCACAACATTTTTATTGAATACATTTCACTTGAATACTGTGAAATCAGCTATTTTCTTGTTGTTCTATTCTTCAGCTGCCCTCTTAAAAAATGGATCTTGGGTAAGGTACATTCATATCGCATGGATTTTATATCTTACAACAGTTGTTTTTTTTTATAAATTCTCATAAACTTGTATTAAACCTCAAGCATAAGAATATCCACGTATGAAATTAAAAAAGAATTTTATTTTCTTAATCGAAAAAAATATATTACATAATTTCGATAATTTTATGCACAGGCTCATCGTACATTATATTCTTTCTGAACCTGATACGGAATGGACAGGTGAGACTGGCTATATTCGAGGTGAACTTCTTCATCGATTACTTCCATCATCACCTTCGAAAGATCATGACACTCAAACACTTGTTTGCATTTGTGGACCAGCACCATTTACAGCATTAGCTGTTGAGTATGTATATAACAATAAAAAAAAAATTTTCTTTTGAATTTGAATTTTTTTCGTTTAGTTTATTTAAAGAACAAAATTATAACGATAATCATTTACATGTATTTCTTGCTTGAGAAATAAAATAACAAATAATATATATATATAAACATACACACATTGCGCAAATAAAGTCACTGAAGAGATATTATTAATAAAACAAATTCATATATTTTAAAACAATAATAAAACTAAATATTATTCTGTTAGTTTGCATAAATGTTCTAAGGCGAATTGTTTGATTTTTTTTCTTTTTCTTGATTTTGATGCATTGTTACACCATGATTATCACCATCATATAAAACTAACTAGTTCTTTTGGTTCACCAACAAGACGATAAAGTTGTTCAGAACAGCGTGATGGTAAACATTGATCAGCTTTACCATGAATAAATAAACATGCTTTACCTTTTTGAGCCAACTGACTAACACTAATTGTATCAGCGGTTTGTGATGCAATAGTAGCTAATCATAAAAGAAATGAAGACTTGAAAAGAAAAACTAATTTGAGTATTTAGTTTTTACCAATAGCTTTAACAAGATTACATTGAGCACCAGCCGAGATTACAACAGCATCACCGAATGACCAACCAACAAGTACAGCTCGTTCTATATTATATTTTGATTCTAGAAGATCAATGTTTTCTACCAAATCTTGAATCTAAAAATGAATGATATACTTTAATATGCTGAGTTGATATCTTGCTAATATCAATAACTTACACATAGATTAAGATCACCTGGATATCGATAATCCATTTGTACAGAAATCAGTTTCGGATATTCTACTATTTCTCTAGCTAGATTAGGAGAAATAACCTATAGCAATGAATAGAATCTAATATTTCAACAAAAATAAAATAAAAACAAAATGGCTATAAACTTATACCAGGATCTGTAGAATCTGCAAAAGTTAACATAAATCCGTTTTTTTTCAGCTATTAAAATCCTTAAAAGTTACATCCGCCTGCTCCCGCTACCATAATAAAAGCTCCAAAAGGATCATTACATTCTTGTATATTTTTTGATAATTGAACACGTACATTAGCGCGACGTTCGAGTGCATCAATTTCAAGCAGTACACGATAGAATGACACAACTCTCTTCGTTTGCACTTGGTAACCTAAACAGTCATCATCAATCGTTTTCTACTGACATCTGGTTATTCCTAATATTTGATTGGTAATGAATAGACTTCAATAAATTTTAAGTTTATCAATTTATCAATAAATTAGTTTTGTATCAGTATTTCCAGTATTAAATACCTCAAGCAAAAGCAAACTACCCGAGGTATTTATGATTTTGAACAAGTTCTCTGTTATGTAATTATATTACTGGAAGAAAACCAAGCACAGTGATGAACCTCTAACAAATAGAAAAAGCATGTTGCTTATTTGTTACAACATTATTGAAAAATTGTTGATATTCCTTCTTGTTTATAGATTCTAATTCCAGATGAAACCACGAATTATCTTTGTCTTCTATTCTTATTACATTTATTCTTGAAATTTTTCTTATTCTTGTTGTCGGATCTCTAATCTTATTTTTTCCACATACTTTCTTCATAAGTACTGTACGGATATATTTAAATTAGAAACGTCAATCGGATCAACATTATGGTTTTGCAATGAATGCATTAACATACATGAATAAGAGCAATGATAATTATTTGCATTTTATTCCTTTTTTTGTATTTCTAATATGCAGATGATACTAAAAATTAATTCAGAGAAATAGTTCCTAGACTTACGAAGGAAAGTTTCCAAGTGATAAACCGCTTTTGGGTTAGAACTATATTCAATTAATAGAGCCTAGTTAGTAGGTGGATAATTTAGAGTAGTTCGAGCTGCTGAACTTTTGTTGCTAATATATCGAATTTTTAGTGAATTTCTCCTAGAGAACTTGAGTTTTCAAGCAAAACAATACTTTGGAATTGTGACCTGAAACCATCCCTATATAATGGCTCCGATTAGACTAGCTTGTAGAAAAAGTTTCAGAATTTTCTGATAAAGTCTGTCCAAGATATAAACTTTTCTATAATATAGCCACTTTGCCATGGCTATTGTAAAAAACATGGGTAAATTCATTCTTCGAAGAGATGCTGTGAAAAAATTCTTCATTTTTTTCTACAAGTTAGTCTAATTGGGACTTATATGAAGGCAGTGTCAGGTCAAAATTCAAAAGTACAATTTTGTATAAAAGCTGGGATACTGCAGGAAAAATCTGCTGAAACTCCGATAGCTCAGGAGCAAAGGTTCAACAATTTGAAGCATTCTAAGGTACTTATTTACTTGTCTAGCTCTATCGATTAAATAGAGTCCAGAGGCGAAAACCGGGAAAATATATTGTTTCCCGTTCCACCCTGTCTCGTCCCGCCCCCAAAAAAGTTTTCCCCGCCCTGTCCCGTCCCAACCTTAATTTTTTTTGTCGCTGCCTCGTCAAGGTTTTATAAGATGTTGTTCCCTTTGATCGTATGATTTGTTTGACTTCATATTACAAATAAAAATGCGAAAACCTCGGATTTAAATCCGAGTGTTATGTGTACTGCGAAAAGTGAAGAGATATATTCACTGTTTTCTATCAACTGAGCCATATTTAGCCTATTTGCTTTTTGCATGCAGTTTTTCTGCATTTTGAGACATTTTTCATGGGATGTTTTGTTAGAAAGCTACGATTTGGTTCAAAACTAATATCAGATTCGGAATCAGCGTTAAAAACTGAGTCGATTTATATATGTTGTGAATAATTCTGAGAAAAAATTTTTTTTTTGAAAAAATCCCTGTACCCCCCCTCAGGGATGGTCTTCTCAATAATGACAATTTTTTCGATAACTCAGCCATTTCTTGACGGATCCTGCTCATCTTCGAACTCGACCGAGACATTGTTAAGACTGAACTGTGTAGAAAATTTCATCGCGATTGGACTCTCCTTTCAAAAGTTATCGTGTTAACGGCCGGACGGATGGACACACTGACCGATTCTAGAGTGTACTCACTTTTTGAGTACACAAAAAATAGACACAAACACAAAAATGATACAACTCGAAATCAATCAATATTTTACTTTGCTATTCTCTATTGAACTAAGAAATAAAATATTATGAAAAGCTGTTGAGCCTAAATTAGACTTTTGTCTGGCAGCTTGATCTGCTATCGAAAATTTTTTTCGATAGCAACTGAACTCCATGGTATTGAGTAGTGACATGCTAATTAACCTCGCCTTGTTTCGTTTTCTGAGATGATCCCAGTCGAAAAAGCGATTTATCATTTGGAGACCTTTTCTCGTTAGTCAGATGAATATATGTACATTTTCTGTCATTATTCTGTATGTTATTTTACCAGTGTTTTTTGTATAGGAATATATTTTTCAAAACAAGATGCGAATAGTAATAACTTTGTCTTTGGTTTTTTTATTGATTAGTTCTTGGCTATGATACTTTGTTTCAGATTTCTATTGGAAATTCTGCAATTTATTTTCATTATTAAGAACGAATATACTAGATTTTATAATGGTAATAGTTTTTATCAGAAAAATGAATTTCTTATTAATTTAGTATTGAGATTTTTTTAGTTGTCTTTTTTAAAAGATTTACCTTGTCGAAATCCAGAAAGTTTTACAAGATTTCGTACTCTGGGTGCTAGTCGTCAAACAGTAATATTATTCAATTATTTTTTATTTAATATGATAGAAAAAATATTTTCTAGTCTATACGACCAACATATACCGCCAAGCTTGATTCAAATGCCAAAGGTATTTATAGAAATAAAATATTTCTTTGCCTTGCATTGACACATAATAATTTATTATGTATGATTAAAGAGTATTCGATGAGAGTTTTTCCTCATTAATCTAGTTACATTTATATGCGGATAAATTTCAAATGAAACTCAATTAATCTAGTTTTCTGACATTTTTAATGAATTTGATTATCTGAGAACACAACTTTATGAGCTTATTATATTTTTTAAATTTTCTTATAATCAAATAAATAATATCTACAGTGAGCGACTTAATTTAGATGAGTCTGAATTTTTTTTCCATGATCGGTAAAAAAATTGAATAAATAATGTTCGAAAGTACCCAATCGATTAAAGATAAGTACATTCAACTAATTATAGAAATTTTTCTAGTCTTTTCTGTCATAAGTCGGAAGAAGAATAAAATCATATGAAATTAACTTGTAAATATCTTTAATGGTCGATCTTTTGAGTGGTAAATATTCTTTAAAGAACTTAGAGAACAATTATGACGGTATTTTTTAATGAGCTAATTATAGATTTTGACTTCGTTTAGGTGCAATATATCTTATTGCTTTTGCTACTTATTAAGAAAAAATTCAACGAAAAATGATAGTATTGATTCTTCTTTTAGCTAATCAAACAACAAAAATACTTTTCTCGATATTAATTTATTTATCTTTTACGATCGGAAACGATGAGTTAAATGAAGTGGATAGATTCTTATGGCAAACTCTTGTCTAGACATTATTGTATTTCTTCTTTTCCTATTCTTGCCGTTCTTCTTGTTTCTTTATAATAAATATTTACTGATAGTTCTCTAGAAAAAAAATTTTCTTCTCTGGTAAATAAATCTAATTGAATCTAGGGATTTTATTTAGATAACTAAAAGTGAATTAATGTAAAATAATGTTGTTGTTTTACTCTTTTTTAATTTATTTAGAAATTATCAATGATCCTGTGCCTTTGCTTATTCACCATTTATCTCGATTACCAGTAAATTTTACGACAGAAGTTTTTTGTTTTTTTAGTTTTTATTATTGTTATTTTTTCTCTCTATATATCTAGAACGATGAATCACGAAAACGATCAATATCTGATGATGAAAGTGAAGTACCATCATCATTAATTGAACGAAAAAAACGTACTAAACAAAATACTATTAATCAAACTTCAACAACAACAAATACTACTCAACAGCAACTATCAAATTCTATTGATTATGATGAAGAATTTTCATAAAATAAATTTTTCTTTCTTTATTACTTTTTTTGTTGTCATCAAACACAAAAAAAGAAACAAAATAAAATTTTTGTACAAAAAGAAAAAAATCACCGGAAAACGTGTCTTTTATTATTATGATTATTATTCTTTTTTTTTGCTTCTTAAACATTATTCGAAGTTATAATTTTATGAGTAGTTCGTGGACTTGAACATGTTATTATTGGTATGGTTTCACGTAAATTATAACTTTCGGTTATTGGTACACGTGGATGTTCTAACATTTGAAACCAATGATCATAATTAATACCATCAAAATGAGCACCAATACCAACACAACCAATTAATTCATTTGCACCAACACGATCATAATCAATTACTTTAAATATAAGATCAGCATCTTCAAGTGATTCAATTGATACATCAAATTCAAGACTTTCATTATATGTGGGATTAAGTGTATTCGGTTGAACAGATGTTTTTTTCTTTCGAATTTTTTTTCCATGAATTAATAAAATAACTTTAACATATGGATCTGATTTACCAGTTATATCCATGGGTTTTAATGCACTTGCTTTAACAATAGTTACTGTAACACGTTTAGCATTCGGTAAATAACATAATGATAAAGTTAATTCACCAAGATCAGGATCACTCTAAATTGAAAATAGAACAAAAAGAACTTGGTTTTTATAAGATATAAAAGTTTAGAGAGTAAAAAATATTTATAATGCATAAATATCAAATATATAAGAAAAGAAGAATATCTATGAAATAAAATAGGTCAGCTGTTGTTGTTTTTTTTTCGAGTAGAAGTTTAAAATTATATCTTTACAAGAAATCATTAATTATGCCTTTTTAGATTAGAAACTAATTTTTAGCAAGATGAAGTGGTATAAAAATAGATTTTTGTATTTTGTAAAGTGTATTTCCTCGTAATGATATATTTGAATAAAATTTTTCTTCTATTTAAGTCAACAAGAATTATTTTCATGTTGTTGGGCAATATTATATCTTTATACCGACAAGTAAATAAATCATAGGATCAAAAAGTCTACTTTAAAAATGGCTATAAATAACATTTCTAAAGAGAATAATTCTTTCTTTTTTGAAACATACACTTCGTCTCGAAGCCTATTCATCAGATTCATGATACTTAATCTGCCTCTTAACAACTAACAAAGAATAATCATTTACTCTATTGAAATAAAAATGCACCGCAAATATCTTTCGAAAATTGATATCTATGTTTCACGTGTTTTTATATATTATTTTTAATGAGTATATTTATTCATTGTTTTTTTTCACATTACTATGATATTTGATTGAAAGTAGCTTTTTTTTACAATTATTTTAAATAAGTCTATAGTCCAATCTATTTTCATTATTAATTTTTCTTAATGTAATAAACTCCATTAATTTAAAAGAATGGGAGTGCAAATGTTTTTTTCTTTTTTGCTACATAATAAGTATGCAAGCCTTGTATTGTGCTAGCGTGAACTTTTTTTGTTTTTGCATCTACCATCACATTGGTTGATTAGTATTGCATGTTATGTTGCTCTCTCTATCAAACAATTCTCAATAGAATTGGCATCGCCTCCAACGTTTTTGTGTTTTATAATGAATGAACGAACTTGCCGATTGCTCGTCAATGTTGTTATCGACATTAGTGTTATTATTATTATTATTATTTTTCATACCGTTAAAAAATATAATGTAGTTATGACAAGCGAATAAATTTTTTTCTGAAACTTCTTTTGTGTTTCTATTTCTATGCTCTATATTCGAATCTAATCAATTATGTCAAGCATAATAGTTTGAATAACGGAATGTTGACATATCCTTTGTCTTTTCATTTAAAGAACACATATAAAGGCTAACATGATCATTGGCATAAAAAAAAAAATATACAGGTCATGATTAGAGACCTTCAATTTTATGTAATCTTACTTGATAAATTTTCAATTGGAAAAAAAAACTCATTTAGACACTTCCTTTCTTTTCTGTATTTTTCTAATGAACATTTACTGCCGGATATGCACATCGATAAAAATCGACCAAACCTGTTCGACTACTATGAGTTACTGTTGTTTTTTTTTGTTATACTCGCGGGTTAATTTCCGGCACCATTTTTTTTTCTCTACATTCAGTCAGGGAGAAAAAAAAATAAAACGGATATCGAAAATGTTTTGACTATGTCAAAATCTTACCTCAGTACCAGGTACAATGCTTCTTATACATGTAACATCATTTGATGTTATATCAGACATAGCTAAAACATCATCTACTTTAACTGTTCCAATTAATTTTCTTTTAGTTGATCGACCAAAATCATAAACAGATAATAACAATATTCGTCGACGTAATTCTTCATACGTTATTTGAAATTGAAATGTTTCATTGAAATGTGGTGATTGTGTACGTTTAGAAACTTTTGTTTGAAATTTTCGTCTTCGATCGGGTAATAAAATAACTTTAATATATGGATCTGGTAAAATTTTTGTATTTGAATCTCTATATGGTAAATTATCGATAGATAATATAGTTACAACTAATGATGTTAATTGTTGATTATAAAAAAGTGTAAATGTTAATTTACCACAACCATATGTTGGATCACTTTGTGATGTTTGTTTCATGTATAGATCAGGTTGTAATTTGCCAAGATTACCATTTAAATAACGTATAGCTTTAACACCATTTAAACCAGGTATTTCAACTGTTTCAATAGATTCCATACGACGCATTGTATTTCGTATTGGAAATGTACATGTTGTATCAGTTGATTGTCGAATAAGAGAACGTGATCGACCTAATAATTTTGTTGTTACATCAGTTATTGTATTAAAATCATGATTGGTATTTGATGAAAGATTTATATCTGTAGATGGATTATTTTGATAAATAGGTTGTGATAATGATTTATCATCATTAGTTGTTATTATTGTTTCATCAATTTGATTTGATTCTGAAACATGACGTCGAAGTATTGATGGACGACGTGACAAACGATCAGTTAGGGTTTTAAAATTTGATAATAATTTCGGTGACGACAATGGTGATGATGTTGATAAAAGGCTTGAAATTCTTTGTGAATGAGGTGGTGCTGATTGATTTGAATGTACTATTGATTTACACGAAATAGGTAAAGACTGACTTGTTTGTTCATTTGATGATACAGATGAATTCGATGAAGATTCAGATGGACGTAAATTCAGTGGTGCATCATTTATTGTTAAATCATCACCTCGTTCATTGTTATTTGTTATTGTTGCTGTTGTTGCCGTTGTTGCCGTTGTTGAAAATGGTAATTTAATTTGATCAACAGTTTGTCGAAATTTATCAACGAGAATATTTTTTGGTGATGATAATTTTTCAACTTGATTTCCAACAAATGAACGTATATTAAATAAATCACTCATATCTTATAAAAAAAAAAGTTTCTATCTAAAAGAACAAAATTAAGTCAAATTTTATTCATATTAAACTATGTATATAATCAAGAAGAAAAGAATTCGTTTGGGAATCCTTCATTATATACTTAGTCAAAATCAAAAAACAAAAATGCAAAATAAAATGTATTTAGATATACGCGAACGCACGACTAGTAGACCTATACAAAAGAATAGCGTTAACAGAAATGATGATAATGAAACTGATTTACCACTTACTTGTGCTCTAAAATCGGAAACAATAGAAAGACACAGAGAACAAGAAAAGAATAGAAGAAATAGAAGAAAAACAAAAAAAAAAGAAATCTCAAGTGCTTTTTGTGCCCTTGCTCTATAATGAAGGAAGATCGATATGATGTAATCCATATCAGATTTGATTGAGTAGATTAAGATTATTTGATTTTCTCTTTCTTCCTCTTCAGTTGTGATAATAAATAAAAAGAAAGAATCGTGCAACGAAGAAGTTACAGTATACACTCAAAAGCAATCTCATGTGAATCCTTACTTCTATATAAAAAAGAAAAAGTCTCTAAACGAGAAAAAGTTTTCCCTTTGAAAAATATAAATAAGTCGTTGGCATGTAAGTTTAAAAAGACAAAAAAAAAACCAAAATAATTATATTACATGCACTTAAACGTCAAATTATTAATTGATAATAACATATAGTGTTTTCTCTTGCTGAGGGATGAACACATCTAATTCTCAAGGAAGGGAAAAAAACATAATATGTAGCGCAAATCCACAAACTCCACAAAAACCAACCTCGATTGCCGGAGGGTTGTCAGCTCATCGCCCCCCTATAGTGCATAAAATACTAATAACCGACTAGAATATATTGATAAAAAATAGTCAAATTACATTTGTCTTCTGTTTATAAATATATATATGGTGAGTAGGATAATATATCATTTTCTTTTTTTTGTAGTGAGCCTTTGTTCATTGTTTCTCTATATATTCTAATTGAAGAAAAAAAAATAATCATAATCAGAAAAGAAGGTTAAGAATAATAAGAAATAATAGAAACACTCTATTAGAAGAAAGTAAAAGAGGCAAGACAAACTTTCGTTGAACACTTATTTGAGTAGTTTACGTTTATTCTTCATGTTACAGTTACGTTAGCAAGATGATTCTGTCGTATTTCTTTTGTCATTTTAATTATCATTTTCATATGCTCGTATTTCTTTTCTTTTCTTTTTCTTCTCCGTTTCTATTTCTCGTATTTTCTTCTGGTGTTTCTCTAGTTTATGTCGCTCTTTTCTTTCCGCTTTCTTCACATTTTTTTAGATCAAATTCCTCTAGAGAGGGGTCTACATGCATGTATGAATGAGCAAGTGAGAGAATAAGACTAACTACAATAACTCATTACTATTTCGAAACTATATATGTCGAATAATAAAATGTTGACTCTGTTTTTCTTTTTTTAAGTAGTCCTTTTTTTTTATAACATATTCATTGAGAAAAAAAAATACGATACATGGTGTAATTCAAGATTATAATGGACGATTGGCTTGTTTAAAACATAAATGTCTATCGTTTAAACCATGACATATTCTTATATAAGTTAGAGAA